ATTCACCCGGGCTGTCCAGCTTTCCGGCGCGCAGTTTCTCCAGGTGAAGCTCCAGAGTCGTCTTCTGTCCGCCCAGATGATTCCTGAAGCGCAGGGCGGACATGTGGAATTCCCTGGCATCCTTCAGTAGCTGCTCCATCGTTTGGGGAATCACTTCTTCCGGATCTTCGACGTCGGCATTGAGGTCTTCAGGCGGTGGATAACACTCCGGGCACAGCAGGACGCGCTCGGTGTGCCCGTCGGTGAAGTGGTTGAGTCGCATCAGGATGTCCGAGGTCTCGGTCATCACTTCAGCAATCCTGCCGTGCTCTTCAAAGATGCGCTCGTTGACTTCCAGCACCGCCGCGATGTCGGCTTCACTGGCAGAACCATTCTGTGAAGCGGCGGGCGAAGATGTGTCCGGCGGAGTGGTGACGCTGGCGGCGCCCGTCCCCGAAACGCCCGAAGGAGCGTCGCCGCATCCTGCCAGGCATACGAGTGCCAGTGTGATTGTGAATCCCTGCTTCATCGTGATGATCCCATTATGTGAGGACTTCTTTGGTGTTGCGCCTGTTCCTGTTCTCGCCTGCGATCGCAGCAGCCGATGCCAGCCGCGACAGTGACCGACCAGACGGAAGATACGTTGTGGGCCGTTGTTTTGTCTGTGACAATCGCCACGAATTTAGAAGCGATCCTAAAACCAGATTGGCCTGGTTGTGTTGACAATGACCGAAACTCGAACCGCCAGGCTCAGACTGGCTTTAGGATCGCTTCTGGAATTGCGTCCCCTCACACCGCCTGAGCGGGTGCTGCTCAGCGACTTTGGAGCGGTATTCGGCGGAGTGAGCACGTGTGCGGTGTCATTGCTCGTCACCCGAGTCCTGCGACGGTGTGGGGACTGCCGTTCGTCGCCATGGCCAGCTGGCGAGGATTGCGATGAGCAGACACGTGCAGAATGGAATCTGCTGTCGCACTTCCAGCCCGTAACTTCCATACAGCCTGTTCCACTGAAGGCGAAGACCAGGCGTGCTGAAGGTGTCCACAGGCGTCACTGCCGTAATCACGCTGACCAGCCCGGACGCCTTGGCGCCCTCCAATCATTTGGTCGTCGTGTCGACAACCATCCAACTTGCCGATTCACATTATGCCAGTGGACGATATTCTGACGGGATGAGGTTAACACGCAGATTTTGGAGACGTCTCGCCATCACGATGGTGGTTCTTATCCTGCTGGCAGGTGGTGGCTACGGGTGGTTTCGCAGTCAGTATCCATACGGCTGGACGCATGTCTGCGAAATCCAGCTGTTCGACGCGCTCATGCGTTATGCGGACAGTCACAACGGAGCCTTTCCCACCGGCCCTGCCGCGCCGGAAGCCTGTCTGGCTCTACTGCACCAGCCGCCGTCCGTGAACGCTCATTTGCTCAGCGGCAAGAGTATCGACACCGACACGGCCGCAGAGGCGCTGATCAACACCGGGACGCTCGGCCCAAAAAGTTGCGGCTGGCACTATGTTCCCGGTCTGCGTCAGGACGATTCCCCCGAACTGGCATTGTTCTGGGATAAGGCCGGGCCAAACCACAATGGCGGGAAACTGTCCGGCGGCGGACACATCGTGTGGTTCATCGACGGAACACACCGTCATGTCACGGCCGCAGAGTGGGACTCCTTCATCACCGCTCAGCAGGAGCTGCGGCGGAACGTATCGCCCGAATGAACTCCGGCGCCGGATCGCATCGCCATCACCGGGCACTCGCTCGCTGAAACGCTCCCGGTGTCATCCCAAAGACGCGGCGGAAATGTCGATGCATGTGGCTTTGGCTGGAAAAGCCACTTTCAAGTGCGGCACCGCTCAGCGAGACACCCTCCTCAATCAGCTTCTTCACATGATTCAACCGACAGCGAATCACGAACTGCAGCGGACTGCTCCCGGTGACCGCTCGAAACGAACGCGAAAAATGCGATTCACTCATCCCTGCATACTCCGCCAGCTGGCTCACACTGAGTGACTCAGCAAGATGGCCCTGCACGAACTGGTGAATCGCCTGCAACTCCTGCGGCGAGATGGCTCCACCAGATTCAGGCGTCGCCGCCGTGCTGTATTCGTCAACGAGATGCCGAGACAGGGCACGTCCAAGCTGAGCAGCAACATCTGGACCGCTCGACCGTCCGGCCTCCGACAGCTCGTAGCAGGCACTCGCCAGATGGTCGATCAACCGGTCCTCAACGATCTGCGGCAGCAGCACACGAGATCGTTGTGGTTGCGCAGCTGATTCCCGAAAGGCCATGGCAGTCAGCGCAATCGCGTCGACGCGTACCTGCCCGCCAAACGTCAATGCGGCTGAGACGTGAGCCGGCCAGACAATCACCTGCCCACGGGCCTTCGCAATGTGAGACGCAGCGGCTGTCTCCGGAGTCCAGCTGATCGACCCACGCGATTCCCTGAGGACCAGCAACAGATCGAATTGGTGAGCATGACGCTGTCGCGGGTTCAAATCAGAACGGGAAAACGCCAGGCCATCTCCCAGATGCCTGCCGAATCCCCTGAACGTAACCGCAGAACCTGCAGCTGGATGATGTGGGATCATGTGATGACTCTGAAAGGAATGCGGACGAATGGGCGACATGCAGTCGGCCATCGGAAACCCGACAACGGCATCGTACCAGCTCAGAACAGGTCACGACGCGATCGCAGAAATCGACAATGACCAGCAGGAATGAAGAAGACAGACGCGGTCATCCTGACAAGAATCTTCGCGTTCGTGGCAGAAATCCTGGAAGGAAGGAAGAAATATGGAGGCTGAATTCTGGCATCAGCGATGGGACACCGGAGATACCGGCTGGGATCAGGAAGCACCAAACCGTCTGCTGACGGAATACTGGAGTGGCCTGGCCCTGCCTGCCGGCAGCCGGGTCTTTGTGCCGATGAGCGGCATGTCGGTCGACATGATCTGGCTGCGAGATGCCGGATACCAGGTCACCGGAGTTGAACTCAGTGAATCCGCAGTGCAGCGTTTCTTCGCAGCTCATGGCATGACGCCGTCCGTCTCGCCGGAACAGAGCTTCACCGCCTACGAGTCCGACGGGATTCGCCTGCTGGCTGGTGACATCTTTCAGCTGACACCAGAACTGCTGCAGGGCATTGCAGCCGTGTACGACCGCGCCGCGCTGATTGCTCTGCCACCAAAGACGCGAGAAGATTATGTCGCCCTGCTGCGACGAACGGTGCCGGCAACGGTGGTTACTCTGCTGATTACGTTCGAAAAGCCACCCGGCGAAACAGATGGCCCGCCGTTCTCCGTGAATCGACAGGAAGTCGAACGACTGTTTGCGAACAGCCATTCTGTTGAGGTGCTGGACGAGCAGCCGTTCGATCGGAAGGGAATGCCGTGTCGTGAGGTCGCCTACCGGCTGCGTCCCGCCGGCAGCGATGAGGCCGATCAATGAAGGAGAACACGGTGAGCACTGTTCAGACGCACTACGATGAACACCTTGGTCCGATTTATGAGTGGATGGCTGGTGATTTTGCAGCGGCCGTGCAGGCAATGGATGCCTGGTGGGACTCCATAACGCTCGACGCGGGAGACTGTAGTGTGGCTGTTGATCTTGGATGTGGTCACGGCATCCAGTCGGTTTCGCTGGCGCGACGCGGATTCAGCGTGATTGCCCTGGATACGTGCCGGCAGCTGCTGGAGGCCCTGCAGCGTCACGCCGGTTCACTGCCTGTCACCATTGTCCACGACGACCTGTTGAATTTCGCAGATCACCTGCCGCAGGAACCAGACGTCGTGGTCTGCATGGGGGACACGATCACTCATCTGGCGTCCAGGCAGGATGTAGAGTCGGTTGTCCGATCGTCAGCTCGGCTGCTGCGGGCAGGCGGAACGTTCTGTGTGTCATTACGAGACTACTCGGGCCCGCCGCCGCAGGGAACATCCCGTTTCATCCCGGTGCGAGCCGACGACCAGCGGATCCATACCTGTTTCCTGGAGTACGTCGGCCCCGATACTGTGCTGGTGCACGACCTTGTCTACGAACGAACGGAGTCCGGCTGGAAGTTTTCCGGGAGCGCCTATGAGAAACAACGGCTGGCACCGGACTGGCTGAAGGGAGTCTGCCACGCCCATGGCCTGGCGGAGGTGGACCACCGTGTCGATCGCGGCATGCACTTCATGGCGTTTCGAAAAACAGACAGCGAGTGACGCGCCAGGTTGAGATGCATCAATGGGATGACGCGCAGCGGGTTCAACTCCGAGGCTCTGCAGACCCACGTCAGAGTCGATCAGAGGTGCACATACAGGATCGCAGCGTGCCGCTCCACATGAACATCTTCGTACTTAATCTCCACTTCCAGCGGATTGCTCAGGGCACCGTGTTCTGAGAGCCGGGCGCCGTGGATCTGAAGACGCAGGTTGATAGCTTCTCGACTAATGTGAGTCTTCCGATGCCCGCCGCTCAATCATCCCGCCATCATCGTCTTCAGGAATAATCCGAGAACTGACAGGATGGCTGCCAGCACAGTGGCTACTACAACTCGCTGCCCGACTGATGGTTCATCCTGCGTTGTGTCGGCGTTCTCAGAGCCATGTTTCCATTTCACGCTGGTGGCAGCTGCGAAAACGAGGAAGGTCAGGCTAACAAACCAGTGCCGGGCAATGACAGTTATTGCGCCGGTAGCCAGGCTCCCTGCGTAGATTCCTGGAATCGACGTCCGATGGTGTGAATTGGACTGGTTGAATAATGCGATCGAAGCTTCGGCATCAGGAACCTCCTGGATTCTGTAAGCCCATCCGTAGAAACCAGTATTGTGACGGATGAAAACACCTGGAGGAGAAACTTCAAAAGCAAGACTCCCTCCCACAAAGGGCGCGCACACGTAGATGCGACTGGACTGCGATCCCCACCAGCCAAGCAGCGACATCAGTAATCCTGTCACCGCAGCGATCTGCAGCGCGGAACGTGTCGATGCGATGACGCGCAGCGGGCTCCACATTGAGGCTTTGCTTTCTCCGTCAGAATCGATCAGAGGTGCACATACAGGATCGCAGGATGCCGCTCCACATGACCATCATCGTACTCAATCTCCACTTCCAGCGGATTGCTCAGGGCACCGCGTTCTGAGAGTCGGGCCCCGTGAATTTCAAGATGCAGGTCGATGGCGGTATCCGAGACGTCGTAGTGATTCAGACTCAGCCAGTCAGATTCTGCACGCACGCGCACGTCGTCGATGACAGCCGGCTGCTTCCCGGTGACAGGATTCGCCTTAATCTGCACGTGAATCGGGACATCATCGTTCTCGACTGAATGAAACCCGGCGTAGATCGAATCCGGGAGTTCCCAGCGTGAGACGATGAGTCCCGTCACAGGCACAAAGGTAATGAGGGTGTTGAGTGATCGGCCCGGCTACGTCGAATTCCGTTGGGCGATAAGTCGTCGAACGCACAGCGTCGCCATGACCACGAAGATCAGGATTCCGTTTGCCCAGAGGAACCAGATTCGCGGGTTGTTCGGTTCGGCAGCCGGCTGCAGTGTCTCCATCTCTGCAGCTGCCGGACTGACATAATCCATGTAGATTCGCTCAGCGAGTTCCTGGCCGTCGCCATGATCCCGGTATACCTGATACGTCATCTCGAAGTTGCGAAACGATTCTGCCGTGAACTCCTGAGCGACCGGCGACTCATCCTGAAGCGGTTCCAGCTTCAGGTCCATGATTTCGGTGTACCCACTGCCGTCCGACAACTCCGTGACATCGATCACTCGTGTTGGGAAGCATCCGTGAGGCGTCGATTCAGAGTAGACGCGGCGTTCAACAGTGACCTGATCATGTTCGATGCGGGCGCGCAGGTACGGATGGGGATGTTGATTGGCGAATTCGAAGCAACCTTTTTCTGTGCCATGGCGGACATCCATTGAGAATGCATCCGCCAGCTGCTCCGTGTTGTTCGGGATGATGGTGGTGCTGGGGCGCTGGAGATAGTTGGTGTACGGAATATTACCGCCTTTCCACAGCGCGTCGGCATACCTCAGGAAACTGAACTCGATAAAGCTTTGAGGTCCCATTGCCTCCGGTGAGTCGAGATCATAGATGTGCAGAGACGCCAGTGCATCAGGGCGTGTTGCGACATCGCCAACGAATTCGAACACTCGCCCCGAGTCAAGTGCTGCGGCACCTGGGAGCATGCCATCCTCATCCGGCGACGTATAGTCGACACGAAATCGCTGTTCGTTGCGCCAGAAGACTCCTTCGTGCTCCACCGGCAGGTCAATCTCTCCGGTTTCGCGATCGACGTATTCCCATCGAGGCTGTTCTTCACGATACAGCGTGAACGTTCCCTGAATCTTCTGGACGTCGTGACGCAGCTCGTCGTGTGCTGCCAGAATGTCGGTCGTCGAAGGTGGATCGGCGACACTGTACCGCGGGCACAAAGTTCCGAGCAGGACGCATAAGACGACGCGTGTGGATCGCTGAGCAGCAATTTGAGGCATAGTAGAAGGCTTGTGTTAACTGACACTGTGGCACCACAAGGATGTCATGTCGAAGTTAAGCAGCCCGCTCCACAGTCGATCAGGTGTGTTAATGACCCGACTTATCGACGAACGATCGTGCGTCGACAGTTTTCACTCTAGGAAGCAACACACTGGGGGTCAAGAAGAGAACACGAAAGTGTTCGCATTCTGGCAACGGCATGAGTGCGCATGGGTCGGGTGTTCATCGTTGCACCTGAAGTGTTCGCCACAGTGAGGCGCACGTTGACCTTCAGGGATGCTGGCGCGCGACAACAGGTGACAGTTGTCATCCGGACCGGAGCGTCTGTGAGACGTGTGCACAGGTGCTGACCGAATGTTTGTGGCCCCGATTCTTCGACGCCCTGCGATTGGTGACAGCTTGAGCGCCATCGAATCTGTGATTGGACATCCGCCATCCCAACCCACTAAAATCGACACACATGAGTCACAGAGTCAGACACTGTCTGTCGTTGGTCGCGTCATGTCATCGGCGCGATTGGATAACGACGCAACTGGTGGGCACACAGTGCCACCAAGGGACAGCCGTCAGCAGATTTGTCCGTGACTTGAGATCCCTGTGTCTTCACAGGTTGCCCTCGTAGCTCAGCTGGATAGAGCGTCGGATTCCTAATCCGGCCGGGTGGCACCAAAACTCCAGAAAACACTGGGTTTTTGCAACGATGGAGTGACTGGAAACGCCTTATTTGCCCTCTGGGCGGGCGTCGCGACGCCCGGTGGGCCGATCGGATTCGCCCTGCCGAATGACACGACAGACCACTCATGTCTGACCCCCGCCAAACTGACGAACGCCTTAGGTCATACCTGAACAACCGCCAGCCAGACCAAGAGCGCATGTGCTGTGCACTGTTGGCACTAAACCCTGAGTACTCGAACGTCGAGCCACGACGTCCAGAAGGAGGTCCCGACGGCGCAAGGGACATTCAGTGCGCGTTCACCCGCCATAGTGCATTCATGATTTTGGAGACCCCCCGGGGTTTTATTTCCAAGACGAAAACGGGACTCCGGCCCCGGAGAAGGCGGGGCGGCTATGACTTTGCCAACAACTCACAGATCAGAATGTATTACCCTATCCTTCCCCATCAGACGCACGCCGCAAACACAGCAAGCCCGGTAACTCTCTACAGCAACAGGCCCAAAGAGAAAGACCGCAGACACCACCATATCAGCAGCATCTACGGGATTGCTGTTCAGCCTTGACTGACAAATGTCATCAGGTGCGATAGCCAGGCGTCGTTATCTGCTCTGCCCCGGCCCGAAGACATGTCCGCACTTCAAGCAAGTTATCTTGATGTTCCCGCTGCCCACAACTCCACCGAGAAGTCCCAGCGGTCCTAAGAGGACCCCACCCGCAGCCGCATTCAACAGACTGAATCCCTTCTTGTTGGCAGTGAGATGCGTTGACCGGCATCTCGGGCAAGTTAGCGGTCGCTCTTTTTGTCCCTGACCGTGTCCTGGTTGCGTCGAGGTCTCTCGTGCTCTTTTGATTATTTCCTTTTGCTTCTCGCCAACCTCACGAAGTTGCTGTTTAGCACTCTCGGAGCGTACCCTTTCTGCCCTCGCTTCTTCGGACTCTTGCTCATCTCGTTTTCCGGGCACAAGGTTTAGGAATTCACACGTTGGGCATTTGTCAAACTGGCCAGCCTTGGACGAAAGACTCGTCACTTCTGCACTACACCGTATACATGAGTATTTGACATGAAGCTCGTTGTGGAACGGTGGCGTCTCAACTGTACCTGTTGGGGCAACCCTCAGAGTTGGTGGTCCACCCGCGACAGTTGAAGGATCGTGATCTTTTCGAGTCTTTCCGCGTGGCGGGATCAGCCCGTTCGTGGGTATCACAACCTTGCAGTGCTTACAACGCACCTTCTTGCCCAATGCCCGATCTGGAATTGAGAGGTTCTTGCCACATTGGGGACAGATGAGTGTTGGCGGCATGTGCGACCCCAATTTCGTCTTTGATCTCAGAGCAAAACCGATTCTCCACTGTCGGGGCCACAGAATCCACTGCATCAGCGTGAACGTGGCGTGATCTGCGGGATTCCGTGAACGTCATCGTGATTTTGTTGCTCTCGGCATCAATTGCCGCGAATCTTCTTCCACGGACCGCCTTCGGATTCAGAGATGCGATCATCATCGTGGATGCGGCCTGAATCGATGAGCTTTCGCATCTGTGCACGTGAATACGGTCCCAGGATCTTCTCGCGGACTCCCTCCGCTTGACGCCGTTTCACCCAGAATCGGCGAACAGCAGAAGGTTCGCCTGTCTGTCTCGGTCTTGGCTTTCTCTTTGGTGATCCACTGCGATTCGCTGTCGGTATTGCTTCGTTTGGTGGTGGAGGAGCAGAGGCTGAAGCAGCAGGTCGCCCGGAACTGTAAGAGACACCAACAGTTCTCGCTACTTCCCTAAGAGTGTCGCTGAACGATGGATCAAAGGGAGTGTAGGCCGGCCACTTCCGAGAGTGCTGGTGTTCCGCGGTGCGATGTTGACGAAACTGAAGTATCTGGCTGGGGACTTTGACTCTGTTCTCCAAACCGGTGTCGACTGCCCGCACCAGTTCCTGCTCAATTGTGCGGTGGACATCGTTGGCATCACAAATAGCCCGCCACTGCTGATTGAGTGACTCGATCCGTTTCACGAGCGGAGAGTGGTCGCATTCACTAATGTCGCGGTGTAACGATTCTGTGCGAGCAGCCTGCCCTGAAGTCGCACGTGCAATTATGGTCACTAAGATGTACAGAGCAGCCGGCCCAAGAACAATCGCCCAGAGGGCCATGGATGACATGTCGGAAAACTGTCCGAATGCATCGTTGATCCGGCCGATTGTGGCAACAGCGGCAACAACCCCAACGCACAACAGGCCCAGGATCCACAGACACCCGGAACCCACCGGATCTTTATGCTTCTGTTCTTCGGCCTGTCGCGCTAACCGGGCTTTCGCCTGAGTCCTCGAGGTCGTCAGCATCCTGTAGTGGTCTCTCCCTGCCGCGACGCTTGAGTACTGCCGCTCCATATCGGCCTGGAATGCACTGGTGTCAGAGCGGAGGCGGCTCAAACCGCCTTCTGCTGTGTGTTTCCAGCTTGAGAGAGAGTCGCCGTAACGCCGATACATCGCGACGAGAGTCTCAGGAAACCGAGCAGTGGAATACGGCTTTTGCTGCGGCGGCATCGGAAAGGCTGAGGCTGACGACAACCAAATGATCGAACTCCGACACGCAGCACATATTCGAGGGCGACCGTCGAGTGGCGTGTTGCATTCAGGGCATTTCGGCAGGTTGGCGACGCGGTCCCGTTCTGCCTCTTGTCGACTGAGCAGTTCTCGGACCGCCCCCAGTTCTTCGATCTGGCGGCGACGTTGCTGCATCCCAGCCATGTCGGCTGCGAAAGAAGCATCTTCTTGGAACTCCTCAAAATCGAAGCCTCCATCATCCGCTACCCAGTCGTCATGATTTCCCACGATGCACCTTACGCACACAGGTCATCCGGCATTCTGCCCTCAGCCACGATGGCGACGAATGCCGCTGAACAATATCCGCCAGAAAGGATGAACGGTCCGTCCTCTGCGGTCATGCCCTCAGCTACCAGAAATTAGAGATTGCGGGAAACTGACACCTCGAACATCGATCAAGTCGTTCTCGAAGTTGCTGGCCGATTCAGGAATCGAGTTCAACCTCCTTGCTCACAGCGTCACTCGTTGTCACCCGCAAACACTCATCTTGCTCACTCCGCTCGCGGTGCTGCTAAGCAGGACGGAGATTAGGACAGGCCCCCATCTGCTTCGGCGATCTTGACAGAAGCACGAATCGCAGTGACCGGGTAGAGGACTACAAATACCCGTGTCTGGCAGGCTTTCACATGTACCGACACGGCCTGATTTCTCAGCTTCATTCGGGCGGTCACACCCTGGAGCAGATCGCAGCCGTGATTGGACACCAGACATCCGAAATCACTAAGATCTACACGCACGAATCACTGCGGCAGAAGATGGCGGCAGCCGGCGCCATGATGTCATCCGTGCGATTTGACGACGATCCAAACGGCGAAAACGAAGGTACAGCTGAGGTACACGAAACGGAGCAAAATACCGCAACTTGATTGCACCAATAAAAACATTACCTGCCCTCGTAGCTCAGCTGGATAGAGCGTCGGATTCCTAATCCGAAGGTCGTGAGTTCGAATCTCGCCGGGGGTATTTGAGTTACGTCAATTGCTGGCGTCCGTGTACCTCAAAAATGTACCTTGACGGCTCGGCAAATGTGGTAGGCCCCCGTCAGGGTTGCAACAGGTTGTCTACCTTTTGCCAGCGATGTGCGTGCGGCGTTAGGTGCACGAACCCAGTGAAGTCCAACATGCGTATCATCATCAGCTGGACAATGGCTTCGAGAGCATCGAGATACTCGAACAGCTGATCATCCGTCTTGATACGTTTGTCAAACTGTCCAAGGTGGATGAGCTTGTGGCGGAAACCCAGGAGCCTCTTGGAAGGCGCAGCGATGGACAACTCTTGGCATGCCTTCTCGACTTGTTTGGGGAACGAAGGCCGGGAGTTCCACTCGATGATCTTGCCGCAAACCGCACGTGTGCGATCCACATTCCAATTTGGGGACAGCGTCGACAACAGCCAATGAAGCACACAGCGAAACCAGCGACGGTC